CATAGAGATTGTCATCAATTACCAAAACCACACATGGGGGCACCGCATGTCCTTTCAATCTCCTCATCGTGATTCTTGTGAATCAGCGAGCATTGCATGTGTAAGGTTTGGCCTTCGAGGATCAAACAAATTCAGTGGTAAGAACATCAACCTCATGGTCTGATTCATCACTATTATACTCAACCATATGCATTCTAGGATGATCGCTTGTAGACCTATGAACCTTTTTACTTTGAATCTCTTGAGCCAAAGCTTTTGACAAGACTTGGTTAATCTTCAAAAACTCATAACTTTCCAACCTCTCTTTAATGTACGTTTTCAAACCATTAAGAACAAGACCCGCCAAGTCTATCTCAGTTATCATTAAGCTCTAACATCAATTTTTTATATCTCTAAATCTCTTGACAGAATCAGTGACCGATTCACCATGTGTTTGCCTAAATGATGTAAGATGTGATAACTTAAGCTCATTATCGCTGCTATATAAGTGATCATGAAATTTTTTCTCTAGCTGCGACCATAAGAGAATAGAGCCATGTGGTAAAGCAACAAACCATGAAAATGCGGTGCCAGTTAAATATAGGGAAAATAAATGCATTTTCAATTATTTTATGGAACCTGCTTCACCCAACTGTGCTAGATATTGACTAATATGCTCCCAAATTGTTTTCGTACCCTCACTAGTAAATTTTGCAAAAACAATAACTTTATAAGCTTGAGAGTACAACCCTGCATCCAAGTGTTTAGGGTACATCTTTGGTACACATAGCTCCTTACTTTTGGCTCATTTAGTTTCTTGGGACATCTTATGCAAACCCTCCCTTGGTTTGGCTAAAATTGGGTTTGAGGTAGATGAAGATGCTTGTGTTGGTGGCATAGCAGCAACATGAGTACTAGCTAGGGGTGCAACTTGTGACGTGGGCATTGAACCATAATTCGGTAGAAGATGAAACATGCTCGTACTTATGGGTGGCGCTATAAAGTGGTTTGGCCTCAATGCCGAATTGGGCACACTCATAATAGGACTAGGGCATGCAGGTCCAGCCACAAGTTGATTGGTTTACCTAGGATAAAAATTCATCAATGATAACCCACAAGTATATGGGATCAATTGTAGCCTTTCTCGATAAGAGTGTCGAATCAAACGAGATGCTAAAGGTAGAATTTATATCCCCTTCAACTTCTATCGACTACCGATACAACTCTACACACACTTAATGTTCGCTTTACCTAGAACAACTATGAAACCAATTTGCGGGAATAAAACTAGAAGTACTTTGCGAGAACAAAACTAGGAGTAATTTGCAAGATAATAAAAGTTAGTTGTTTAGTAGAAAGGCTTTTGTAACACAAGAGAAGGGTTTGTCCCTAGGCAATTGATAACTAGATTAGTAATCATTATTGCAATTTTATATGAGGGGGAGGCATGAGCTAACATACTTTCCGTACTTGGATCATATGAACTTATGATTGGACCTCTAGCAAGTATCCAAAACTACTAGAAATCATTAAAGTAAACCCAACCATAGCATTAAGTAACAAGTCCTCTTTACTCCCATACGGAACAACCCCCTTACTCGGGTTCAAACTTCTGTCACTCTCGCAACCCACTATAAGTGAATCATGAACGTATTGCAACACCCTACAATGGGAATCCCCCATGTGTTCGAGGCACGGAAGGCACCATAGGACAACACCAAAATAAAACATACAACTCAAACCAATCACGATCATCAATCAACCCATAGGACAAAACGAATCTACTCAAACATCATAGGATGGCCACACATCATTGGGTAATAATATATAGCATAAAACACCATGTTTAAGTAGAGATTACAACAGGAATAGAGAGGTTACAGTGCTGCATAGAGGGGAAAGAGTTGGTGATGATGGCGCCGAATTTGTTGGTGTAGATCGCTGGCACGATGATTGCCCCGGTGGTGTTCCGGTGCCACTGGGAAGGAGGGGAGAGAGCCCCCTCCTTCTTCTTCCTCCTTGGTCTCCCCTTAGATGGGATGAGAGTTTCCCCTCTGGTCCATGGCCGCTATGGCTCCCGAAGGACAGGAGCACCTCCGAGATTGGATCTCTCTCCGTTTCTCTTCTGTTTTGCGTCTGTTTTCGGACCCCTTCACTGTTTTTTATATCCCTGAAGATCCGTGACTCCAATTGGGCTGAAATTTTGAGGGGATTTTTATTCGGAAATTATCTTTCTTGTGGCAAAGGAAGGGCCGCAACCGACTCACGAGGGAGTTACAAGGCAACACGACGAGACCTACCCCCTGGCCGCGCCATGTTGCCTCGTGGCCACCTCGGGTACCGTCTTGCATTGATTCTTCTTCCCCAAAATCATATATATTTCAAAATAAATCTCCGTAAATTTTTATCGCGTTTGGACTTCATTTGATATGGATTTTCTATGAAACAAAAAACATACAAAAAACAGGAACTAACACTAGGCACTAGATTAATATGTTAGTCCCAACAATGATATAAAATGTTGCCAAAAGTATATGAAAGTTGTAGAATATTGGCATGAAACAATGAAAAATTATAGATACGACAAATCATATTACTGTTGCATGGGAGGTGCCGATGAAATATGTAAAGTTGGATTACCACTAGATGCCGAAGGCATATTTTTTCTAGCATTAGTATTTGCTATGAACGAATTATATATCATCTAATTACCCTTACTAACAAGACTTTCAGTCGGAATTTTTACTAAGAGTGATTTCATCTAGTTTGTCATCGAGGGGAGGGAACTTGATGTCTCAAATGTGAGTGACGTTGCCTTGCCAATCCTTCTTAAAATTTGCAAGAAAAGACTGCAAATCCTCCTCTCGCTGCTTCTTGAGCACCTGATAACCCTCCTCGCGTTGCTTCTTGTGTGCTTCGTAGGCTTGGCGATGTTCCTCTGATAGTTCATCAAGACCGGGCGATGTCAACTTCTAAGGACTTGGGGAAATATGACATGGTTGATGGTGATTCTTGATCTTCCTCCCCATCAAAGTTGCCAAAAAGTGTGTTTGCACACAAACACGTCACCGTGTACCTCCGTCATCGAGAGCGGTATCCAGGACACATCGCCAAAGGAGCCTCACCGGGAGCGCGCTACGCAAGACACATCGACAAGAAATTTTGCAGACCCAAAACCCCAAACGGCCGGGAGGGACCCTGCCAGGGAGTGCGATGGCTATGGGCTGCCCTAGAGCCTAGAGCCTCGAGGATCGTTGCTCTTCAATACAGAGAACGAACGAAGAATGAGAAAGAAAGAACAATGGATAGATGTAAGGGTAAAAAGTAGTAGATGCGTTGCGATTGTGTGTTGTTATTCTTTTTTACGGGATAAACTTCCGATCTATTCATCTTCAATCATGGTAGTATAACGAACACTAGAAATAATAAAAATTACATCCAGATCCGTAGACCACCTAGCGACGACTACAAGCACTGAAGCGAGCCGAAGGTGTGCCGCTGTCATCGCCACTCCCTCGCCGAAGCCGGGCAAACCTTGTTGTAGTAGACAGTCGGGAAGTCGTCGTGCTAAGGTCTCATAGAACCAACACACCAGAACAACAACCGCCGCCGATGAAGAGTGTAGATAAGAAGGATCCAACCTAAAGACACATGAACAAAGACGAACGACGAACATATCCGAGCAGATCCACCAAAGACAGATCCAGCGGAGACACACCTCCACACGCCCACCGACGATGCTAGAGGCATCACCGGAACATGGGCTAGACTGGGAGACCTTTATTTCATCTTCAGGGAGCCGCCACCGTCTCGCCTTCCTAAGTAGGACACACACCCTAACAAACCTCGAAAAAAGATGTAAAAATGGAGCTCTCCCACCGACAAGGGTCGGGATCTACTATGTCCCCATGGCCCAAAGGCCACGGGAGACGAGGCGGACCGACACCGGCGCTGGCGGGAGGCAAAGGAACCCTAACTTTTTAGGTAGGCGTCGGCTGGCTAGGTCGTCAGGATCTCTTGTGTCTTTTCGACTGTGTGTTGTTATTCAATCGACCGCCACCAGTTATCTATATATGAGGCGATTGGATTTCCAGTACAAGAACAATACTCAAACCCCATCCAAATCTTCAATTTCTAGCCTAACTCGGATTCGTAGGACCGAAACTTCCAGTTCACCCTGGAATTTCTGAGCTCAACATGTATGAAGTAGCTCTCTTGCATTGGTCTTGCAGGTTGCATATGACCTCAGATGAGATGGTCCCAAAATAAAAAAATCATCTTGGAAAAATGAATTCTTATGTTGAACAATTTTCCATCAAAGGCCGTCTTGAGGATAAATTTGAACCCGCGAATCTGTAAAAAATATTGGAACTCCAGTTTTCTGCGCACAGATTGTGCAAACTCTCCCGAAACCTAGCCCTTAGTTTTGCCCAAAACTTTCAACCTCAAATATGTATAAAGCAGCTTCCTTAACTGCCCGTACAAGTCACATACAACCTCAGATCGAGATGACCCCAAAAGTAAACTTGTTCAACTCTTCAAGGTGAACAATTCTCCTGTTGTACACTTCTCCATCGGATTTCATCTTGGGGAAGAACCTTGGACCACAAAATCATTAAAAGATATTTCGGGGCAAACTTCGGCAACACTGTTTTGACTCTCGAGATTGTATACAAGCTCGGATGAAGACGACCCAAACATCAAAGTTGTTCAGTTCGATGGAGATTTCTTATATTGAATACTTTTCATTTGAGGCTGTCTAATGTCAACAAACCGGTTCATGTCACGGTAGACATGGGGGCGCCATAAATAGGGATTGTCTTGGGTGTGATGACTCGGGGAAGACAGCCGGGTCACAAAAAAAAGAGAGGAGAAGACAGGCCTGTGTACTGGGCCTAATGTGGTGACCCACTCAAGCTCGGCCCATGCTGCCAGATTCGAGTGAACTGGCTCCAACTAAGCTGATTCCCCATTCCCCGACGAGCGAGCACCTTCCCCGTCCTCCGCCCCACCTCCCTCCCATGGCCTTCTCCCCGCGCTCGCCGTGGTCGCGCTCCAAAAAGCCCGACATCTACTCCACCGTTGTGGTCCACGACGACGAGGACGACGCCCGCGGCGGCGGCGCCGCCCGCGCGGAGGATGACGACGACGACGACCCCTCCGCGCTGCCCCCGCTCCTCCAGCGCCTCCCCAAGGACTTCGGCGGCGCGTCCTTCGACGACGACGACGACCCTTACTCCTCGGACCTCGACGACGCCTCGCTCTCCGCCACCGTCGTCATCAAGCGCGGCGCCCCCGCCTCCACATCGTCCTCCTCCCGATCCCCGTTCCTGGATCTGCGCCGCTCCAGCCCCCGCGCCGCCGAGGCCGACCCGTTCTCCACCTTCGTCGTCCACGGCACCGCGCGCTCCGGCGGCGCCTCCAGCCCCCGCGAGTCCGTCTCCGGCACGTTTATACGCCACTCGGGTGGCCCCCCCAGCCCCCGCGAGTCCGTCTCCGGCACATTCATCCGCCACACCCGTGGCTCCTCCAGCCCCCACGAGTCGTTCTCCGGCACGTTCATTCACCACACCAGCAGCGCCTCCAGTCCACGCGACTCCGCCTCCGGTGCCGGTGCTGGGTTTGGGTCCTCATTCATAACTCCTTCGTCCGGGCAGGCGGAGGAGGACCGGCAGCCATCACTTCTGATGCAGCAGCAGCAATCAAGGCGGAAGGCATCAATGAGCTCTCTCCCAGATAGCGTTACTAGGGAGGATCCTTCAACCAAGTATGAGCTGCTCCATGAGCTCGGTGCGCCTCTTGTTCTGAAATTAATATCCCCTTTTCTGTATGCACAATAATGCTTCCACATACTTTTTGATGTATTTGCATAACAAACAATTCAATTGGGCAATGCAGGGAAAGGTTCATATGGTGCAGTGTACAAGGCGAGGGATCTCAGAACCCAGGAGCTTGTAGCTGTCAAGATCATCTCCTTAACAGAAGGGGTTGGTTTCTTTGTCAATACTCCCTCCGTCCGAAAATACTTGTCATCAAAATGGATAAAAGTGGATGTATCTAGAACTAAAATACGTCTAGATACATCTCCGTTTATCCATTTTGATGACAAGTATTTCCGGACGGAGGGAGTACTAATCTGTTAAGGTTGCAATGATCATCATTATCAGTTAGCAAGCATGTCCAGCTGACATCACCATATGTCCAATTATTACTTATATGAAATGAAAAGCTCAAATCAAACATGCTGTCTAATCCTTTGAAGACGAGTAGACAAAAAAGGCATGCTTATATACACCACATCTCTTCTCAAATGTTATCTGTTGTTAGATTGCAATCCCGGGCCTGAATACTCATCCATGTAACATATATATCTAACCACAAACATCCAGAACTTTCTAGAATGAAATTGTAGAAGATTACATTTGTAATCAATCTGTCCTTGTTACTTTGATGAATGTTGTAGGATGGCACTGGAGTATGACAAGGATGGGAAAACCTAGACCTTTCATCAGCTCTTTGACACACCAAAACATGACAGAACTTCACTCAGCCATCTTGTCAAAGCTTTCAATAAGACACTCATCATAGTTGATAATTTCAAAAGACTTTGGATTTAGTGTTAGGCAATCCCACAATAGGAATGGTAATTGGCATTACCAAAAATGCATGGTACATCTTTAGTGTTGAATCCTTATTAAATCACTGTATTAATTGAAAACAACATTTTTTGTATTTGCTTATGCCACATATTATCTTGTTAATCTATGTGTATAAAATAGTATTTTAAGTATTAGCACAGCAACAAACTGCCGAGGATGGGAACACAAACATTTTTAACAGACAAAGTTTTCTAGTATTTGCTTTTACAATGTTTCCACTTTCGCCCAGTCTCTACAAAAATAAACCCCGTCCCACCCCACTTACATATTTGACGTGAACATACAATCGATCATTTAATTCACATGATTGAGATTTCGGAAATGCTAATGAAGTTACCCTGTGAAGCGGTCACACGTCGTTAGCATCCAAATTACGAACCGTTGTCACCATTACATTTATCATCGCGAGTTCTTTAAAACTAGACCCATTTGGATATGTTTGAATGAAAATTTTCCCTATGGCATTTTTCTAGCGGATCTAATTCCTTAAGGTGCCATGATTATGCACAGAAGGAACCATGGGTCAGCACAACATCACTACTTAACCTTGCTCCTCTTTCATTATCAATTATAAAAATAGACGCAGAAGGCGCCATGGCTTGATGCTGCTGGTAGCAGGCGCTACACCGAATGTTGGCTTGAATTAAAAATACAAGGGAAAAGACCAAGAAGCCAGGAAAATGAAAGAACACCAGCAAACCTGAAAAATGGAAGAGAACAACAAACCTGTAAAACCAGAGGCGGGTGTGGGGCTTCCCTCCTTGGGGCACATATAGTGCGGGGAGCGAGCCCACGCAGTCACTCCGCTCCTTAGTCACTTGCTTGAAAGTTTACATTCTCATAAAAATGGAAGGCGTTTATTTTCTGAGCCTTCATTGTTTGTCATCAGGAAGAAGGATATGAAGATATACGGGGAGAAATTGAGATGCTACAGCAGTGCAGCCATCCAAATGTTGTCCGCTACTTTGGGAGTTATCAAGGAGAAGAATACCTTTGGGTATACTCCAATATCCTTTTTTTATTAACGTTGCATAATAAATGTAGTATTCTATTTTGGCAATATGTCTCTAGTCAACTCATTAAACTGTGATTGACGTGAGCTTCTACATGCAGATAGTTATGGAGTATTGTGGTGGTGGAAGTGTTGCTGACTTGATAGGCATTACAGAAGAGCCTCTTGACGAACCGCAAATAGCTTATATATGTCGAGAAACATTAAAGGTTTCTATTTTTCTTCTAACACACATGCACACAGTCTTAAATTGCTACTTATATTGTACTACATGTTTGCGTTGCCAGTTTTTTTTTATAATACCTAATTAGGCCAGAACTAGGAAGCATGCTACAGTTAGCTTCTAGAGAGATAGAAAACCTCAGCTGCCCTGTGGTGTTTATCTTCAGATGTTTTACTTTTACTTGCATATTTTCTGCTGTAGGGTCTTGCTTACTTGCACACAATTTTCAAAGTTCATAGAGATATTAAGGGTGGCAATATTCTACTGACTGAGCAAGGCGAGGTGAAGTTGGGTAAGTACAGTTGTTACCTGGTATGCTTTAATTTCACTTACTAAAGTAATTATTTGTATATGCTTTTGCTTGTGAATTCGGCATGGCATCTTACTGGATGATGTTTGGAACAGGCGATTTTGGTGTTGCTGCCCAACTAACAAGAACCATGTCAAAGCGCAACACGGTATTATTTCCAAACATGTTTGTTGTTGCTATTTCATACTCCCTCCGTTCACGACGAGTAATTTGGAACGGAGGGAGTATATAATTAAGAGAGATAGAAGTCATTCATCATACTTGACCATAAGAATCCCCATATTTTCATTGTTATTGATTAATATGGTAAATTGATGGGAAGTTTGACCGAAAGTTTCTGTTTGACAAGTATTACGTGTATCTGTTTCTATTTGGTACTGCCTATGTTGGCATATGCCAGCTTGCTTGTCACTGTTGCTAACATAGTAATCTAGTTCGCATAAACAAATATCTGAAAAAGGTGTCCAAGTTGATGGCAAAATAACTCTCTTAGCACAGAGCATCGTTTTACTAACTAAACTTAGCCTGGAATGTCATATCCAGACAAAAACTTTGTTGTGTCATTATCCTTGAAGCACAAGTTTGTATTGGCAATCATGATAACTTTCATAATCTGGTGCATCATGTTTATGTCTTTCAGTTCATCGGTACTCCACACTGGATGGCACCAGAGGTCATTCAAGAAAGTCGTTATGATGGGAAGGTTACATCTCCCTCCCTCCCTCCTTCCTCCCTGTCTCAAAGCAATATTTCTGGTGCGGTAAGCACCAAGCACATCCCTGCGTATAACTAAACTAGCAATGCTAGATTAAAGCAATATCTATGGATTTTGCGCTAAGGCTATTCTGCATAATTATTACTGAATAGGAATTTTTAAAGTTTGATATCATTTTACCCTGCAAAAAATAGAACTTTGACATCATTTTAGTGTAAAAAAATTGTTGAACTAAAGCTAAATCTGTAGCTCTGTTGGCATAGAGGGTACTCAGTATCAAGTATTCTGTATTTGAATAAAAAGCTAAAGAACCCCTATCCAAACATGCAAGTCTTCTCTTTTGTTCATCTCTTGGTAGTTGCTGAAGTAACGATTTTCTGACCTGACAGTGCTACAAAAGACACAAATTTATAGCTTTGAGAAAACATCTGACAGTTGGATTTTCTGTGCAACTTATCTTCCTGATATGTCAGTGTTATCTATTTCCAGGTAGATGTTTGGGCTCTTGGTGTGTCTGCAATAGAGATGGCAGAGGTAGAAAATGTTCTTTGGTTCTTCCTTTTGTAACTGTACAGTAATGTTTTTATTCCCTTTTTTGTGACGCATCTATCAGTTAACATTTTCTTTTGGTGTCTCTGACTGTAGGGCATGCCACCGAGATCCACTGTGCATCCAATGAGAGTAAGTGCATGGCTTCTTGATTCCATTTACTATTTAGTATCTCTAGTTTATGCGCATGTAGCTGAATGAAGCTACTTTACCTTTGATACACTGTACCTTGAATCCCTTTACATTTTCGCCCATCTTGGTTTCTGAACTAGGTTTTCCTGGTAGCAGTTTTTTTCATATATATTTTCTTCAATCACGCTCTGTGCATTGTTTTTCTCCCTTGACCTAGTTTGTAGTAGATCACCAACGTGGATATATTTTTGATATTGTTGTTGATTCCTGATGTGTCTGCTTCTGCACTTTATTTAGTTAATATCAGATGTAGCTGCCTTTATTGGTGTGTATGTGTGCCATCCTCACTTGGCTTGGTCCATTAGCTAATTGTGTCCCTGTCCCCCTTCAGGTGATCTTCATGATATCTAGTGAACCTGCACCGATGCTGGAGGATAAGGAGAAGTGGTGAGTGGCTTCTAATACACCTTGCAATTTTTCGACTTCTCTGAGTAACGGAAAACTAAACTGGATCGCTTGTAAGAAAATCAATTGTTGATTATCTCAGGCATAGGCTTTAGGTCCAGGTTTCCTTTAATCTACCAAGTAATTCCGAGAACGTCATCTGAGATTCATACTACTTTTGTTTGTAAACAAAGTATTCCATGTTTTTGTTGGGAGATGTTGACATGGCTAGTTTTTGGCTAATCCCTAGATGAGGTGTAGCTAGTTCTTGTTCATTTATTCCTCTCAGATTATCACTCTTCGAATGTGGAAAAGGTGGCAATGGCATATTTTAGCCCTGACCTATTAAGATCTCGTGGGTTTTCGAACACGAAGTCTCAAACATATGTCAGATTGTTAACAAGCTTAGAGCATGAAGAAATTATAGATTTATTCTAAAAGAGGGAGTCACAATGCTATTTTCTTTAGTTTAGTTTATTGTTTGCCAATCCACCACTTCCTGCTAATACTGATCTATTAAGTGGTGTCATTTAGTCCAGCCACACCGAAAGTTTGAGTTTAATCCAATGAAGCACTCGAGTTTTAAACACCGGTTGATCTAAGCTCTTGTATCCAACCCTCCAGGTCTCTTCTCTTTCATGATTTTATTGCCAAGTGCCTAACTAAGGATGCAAGACTCCGGCCTCCTGCAATTGAGATGCTGAAGGTACTTCTTTAGTGCTCAGGGATAACTTTGTGAGGCATCTTTATGAACTTTTATTTCTATATTTATTTATTTGTGTTGTTCTCATTTTTTAAAATTGTCCCGCAGCACAAATTTATTGAGAAGTGCAACACTGGAGCTTCAAAAATGTTGGCAAAGATCAAGGAAGCAAAAATCATCAGAGAAACAGCTGTGCAAAACCAGCTGCCTGACTCTGACGATGTAAAACAATCTGTTCTATTGTTATGTGTATGTACGTTGGTTTGGTCATTATGATATTCTGACTTTGGTATCTACAGGCAATGGATGCAACTGTTCGAATTAATGAAGATTATGGAGAAACTGTTCCGACAAACTCTCAGTCAACTCATGAAACAAAAAATGATGGTTCGGGAGGTAATGATAACTGTGCAAGCATAGATCATGTTGTTTCTCAGATGGGATGCTTCAAAATATAGCTTTGTTTAGTATTTTGTTGTCTTGTGGCATGCACCTGAAACCATCATTTATTTTTCCTGCTTATAGGTGATTTTGGCACAATGATAGTCCATCCTGAAGATGGCGATGAAGCGGCCGAATCATCTATTTTCCCAAGAGCAGAGTTCATACCGGGCCTTGGTAGCATCAACTCTTTCACACATGATCCAAAGAGGGCTGAGCTTATTTCAAAATTTTGGTACGAGAAACAGAATTTTGTTTTCTGATGTACATTGGTCATACCTAGAAAGCAAAACAAAACAAAACAAGCAAAATCTATCTCTCGCCTGAAAGAATCTTATGTATGCTATTTTGATAGGGCGGAGAGCACAGCTGAAAGTGATGCCAGTAAAGAGCGGGACTTATATGGACTTCCTGACATCCAAGAACCCAAAACAATGCCACGTTCAACTGGAACAGTTAAGCATCACAAGGGTGTAGAAGGGACTGTGCTGCGCCATGATATCACTGCATCACCGGGTGTTGCTAGCACAATGAACAAATTAAGCAGCAGCCCAAGCCGTAAAGCATTTTCGGTTCAGGATAAGGTATACGCTTTGCGGTCAAATATTTTTCTATATGACTCTTTAGCACGCCAGATAATTGTTGTAATTGCATGCTTCCCCGTTTGACCCCACTCCTAAAAGTGTCAACAAAATTCGTTTTGTAGCTCTGGTCAATCTATGCGGCCGGAAACACAGTGCCTATTCCATTTCTTAAGGCTATTGACATTTCACCACTAGCTCTAGTATCGGATAGCGTAGCAGGCAATGGCCCTGCTGGTTCAAGTACAACTGATGCCTTGGAGGCAGTCAGGGAGCTTTTCAGTGGCGATGGGCAGGCAAAGAAAGGGCGCAAAGGGCAAAATGAGGTATGCTGTAGACTGTTGCGCTCATCAGTTGCAAAGCGACTCTATTTCTTATGCCCAGATGTGTGTCTGATACTGGATTTGATTGCGCTAGGCCCCTCTTCCTCCTGGTGTGCACGACAGATTGACGACAAGCCCTACATTGATGAACCTGGCCCAGGCTCTCGCTTACCATAAGACGTGAGTTGTTCGAACTGCTTTTTCTTTTGTTGGAGCCTTCCTTTATGTGATGACTGAAGGGACGATTCCATCATATGAAAATGCCTCTTTGGTTCTATAAATTCTGTAGGTGCTACGAGGACATGCCTCTGCAAGATTCACAGGCGACAGAGGAGCAGCAGACGATACAGAACCTTTGTGATACGCTTCGGACCATACTGAGGTTGTAGACGGATCCATGAGTGAAGGCTACAACTACATACATCTTTGGAAGGATTCGGCACGCAATGGGGCTGCACGGAGGCAAGGGCTGGCTGACATTGGCCTTAGTTTTTTCATGGCGGGCATTGCGATTCGGCTCAGCCTGGGGTCATGTGGGATCAAAAGCATGGTGCAGACTGCAGGTGGACGCTGATGGAGCGTATGACCAGTTTTCTGAATTTATAGACGCTGGGTGGGTGGAAGTTGGATGGAATTCTTTGTGTGGCGGAGATGGGAAATTTTGCCTTGTGTTTATAGCCTCTAGGTCTTTTTCAGCGGTCGGTGCATGTACAGATTGTGTAGCTAAGTTTTGGTTAGCAATTTTGTGGCGCAAATGGCGGTTGGAACTTGTATTTTCAGCATATGCAGTTGTTCTCCCCCCTCGAAATAAAGAGGACGAGTAATAATTAGTTGATCAGCCGTCCGTTTAGTGGAAGATAAACATTTACCACCTCTGTAAACTTTGATAAGACGTTTTAGTTTAGATCACTAAAACGTTTTATAAAAGTTTACAGAGGGAGTCGAATGAAAGGCACGGTTCGTGCTGTCATGCTGTATGACAGCTCCAGATGAGGGACGGTTCGAACTGTTTTCTCGTCTACTGGATCTTTGGCATGGTCCGTTGGCGCTTCTGACGGACGTGGAACACTTGCTGCCCGTCCTTGTCCTTTGTCCTTTGGTTAAGGTTTGGGTGTGGAGAGTGGACTCGAGAGACCAAGTTGGAGGCCGCGAAAGGCATGGTCCTTGCTGGCACGAGTGTGCCCATTGGTTATTGTGACGGACGACGTGGAAGAGCTGCTGCCCGTCACTGTCCTTTCTCTTGATTAAGGGAGAGGGTTCGGAATACTGGGCCGGGGGTGTAGACTAACAGTCCTTTGATGATGAGTTTTTTTTTTCGTTCTAGTTTATTGGTCCCTTTTGTATTTTGTGTCAAATTTTGACTAATGATTTAACTTAATACATGTCACAAAAAATTATATCATTTGATTCATATTTGAACATGGTTTTTAATGATTTTATTTTTCTATGACATGCATTAACATTTTATTAGTTAAATCTCTAGTCAAAATTTGACACAGTATAGAATGAGAACCAATAGGTGTAAGGAGGAGGAAGAGAAACTCCGGTTGGCGCACAAGGTCCACTTTCTTAAATCGAAAACGTAACCAAACCGGGCGAGAAAGTAAGCATGGTTCGATTCGATTCGATGGCGTCCGGTGCCGCATCCCGCCAAGGCGTGAATGAATGTGACGCTGTGGTCCAGTGCCGCATCCCACCAAACCAGCGAGCGAGCGAGCGACTGCCCCCTGCACACCATACCAGCGTGGAAGCCTGATTCGCCAAGCAAAGGCGGAGGGATCGTGGGATATTCCTACTCATGGGCACACCATACCAGCGTGGGTCGTGGGTCAGGGTCGCCAACCAATCGACCGCCGGAGTCCGGGCCGGGGCTGCCACGCGGGATCGCACACGTACGACGGGGGAACGCGACGCGAGGGGTCCCAGCCCGGCCGCGCTCGTCCCGAACCTTTTGTCCGCGCGTGACATGTGATGGACCACCCATCCTCCGTCCTCCGTCCACACAAAAAGAAAAGAAAAGCGCACCATCCATCCCCTCGCCCCCGCCCGGCTCACTAGGCGACTCCATCCCTCCCGTCCCATCCCCTCACCCGTTGGCCGACGAACCCCCCCAGCCCCAGGGGCGGCCGCCGGCGATGGTGAGGGAGATGCGCATCAACACCGCGCCCCGCGGCAACCGCGTCCCGCTCCTCAACAACGGGGTACGCACGCACGCAGCCGCCGCTCTCACTTCTCCCGCGGCCCCGCCCTTCCGTGTCTCTGTATTTCCCGTCCGTGTTTGGAATTAATTTTGTGGGCTAACCGACCCCGCCCGCGCCGGCGGCTTGGCTTTGCAGGAGACCTCCAGGATCCTCTCCGACCTCGAGGAGGGCAGCAACGTCCAGGTTCGCCGCCCCGCTGACTGACTCACTCCCCTGTCACACAGCACCCTCCCTGGTTTGGTTTGGTTTCTCCATGGACCAGAGCTCCAGCTACAACCATGGCTACTAATTCGTCTTTCCTTTTTCTCACGGTCTAATCGGAATCCTCTTCTCAGGCGGCCAACGTCGGCTTCTGCCGGGTCATCAAGTTGGTGAGCACCGTCTGATACTACTAGGTTTAAGACCGGGAAAGTTTCACTAGTATGCTTTGCTAAATGCACGGAAAAAAAAATTGTTCTGCAGGCAAAGCATGACGCGGGGAAGCTCGTCTTCGCCACCGTCGCGCTGCTCGTCGCCTCTCTCAGTAACCTCCTCGTTGTAGGTACTCCTCACTTGTTATGATTGACAGAGGAGTTATTTGGTGCTGAATTGCATTCCCTGTTCTGCTGAAGCCTCACACAGTAGCTCAGGCTCTTATATGAGCCAGGGCTTTAATTTTGAACCGATTAATCTCGCTCCCACAACACAGCAGTCTTGGTTGAACTGAGATAAAGCCAAAACTGTAGCTACATGGAAACTATGGCAAAGAGAAATACAGTACTAGTAGTATGTAGCTATAACTATTGTTTCGGTAATCAGTTTTGACTCGTGGGTAGTACTCCATTGGTTCATGCGTGGCAGGATTACTAGTATTAAATAGCGGCCAGTACAGTGTGTTGGTTCTTGTGTGACATGATTAAATAGGAGTGGGGTGTGGCGAGTGCAATGCGTTGGTTCTTGTGTGACATGATTAAATAGGAGTGGGGTGTGGTGAGTGTGCGTTGGTTCTTGCGTGACATGATTAAATACTACTACGCACAGAGCAAGTTGTACTTGCACCTATAAAGAGCATCAATGTTGCACATGTTTCCTGTCTTCATGGATGGATCATCTTTTTTTAAAGCCTAATGGATGGATCATCTTCTGTTATCCTACAGCCCAAATACGGAGGCAAGATAATTGATATTGTGTCAAGAGATGTTCAGCGGCCAGAGGATAAGGCCCAAGCCCTGGCGGATGTGAACGGCACCATATTGTACATTGTGCTAATAGTTGTAACCGGGTACATATCTCTCTTGAAAACTTATTTTTGAGGATTATAGAGGGATATTCTGTTATACGACACTGCCACTACCATCTTTTATAAACAGTTTATGTTTGGTGGATCTAGGTAGGCTGCAATTTTAGTTGGTACTGATAACTACACCATCACTCTCTACTTACTTTCTCCTTGCAGAGAGGAATTCATGTTAATGTACTAAACCCAAGTAGCTATTTTTGCTTGAAATATTAGAAACCAACTCTGCCCCTGTTTCAGGTCAGTTTGCACAGCTCTCCGGGCATGGCTATTCAATTCTGCTAGTGAGAGAGTCGTTGCTCGACTTAGACAGGACTTGTTCAGTCATCTCGTAAACCAGGCAAGTGGCTTACTTCTCTATCCAAATAGCTTTGTTCTGGTCTTCCATATATCCGTGTTCTTATTATCAAGTCTGCACACATGTCTTGTGCCCCCCACAGGAAATAGCATTTTTTGACGTGACTAGAACAGGAGAGCTCTTAAGCAGGCTTTCTGAAGATACCCAAATTATAAAGAATGCCGCTACAACAAACCTTTCAGAAGCACTGCGTAATCTGACTACCACAGCTATTGGTCTTGGCTTTATGTTTTCAACTTCATGGAAGCTAACATGTAAGTACCAGTTCCACATCTTGTGCTCTACAGATTAAGAACTTTGTTGCATCTCATTTTGCTGACTGTGTGGCATCTACCTCTGCATCAATAAAATGAGACCAGGCTTGCATGTGTTGTGTCTTGTGAGTGTCCCCCACCTGTTGGTTCCGTTGGTTCTGACGGAAGTATAGTCTTCTGCACATTCCAGTAAAAGTTTGTGGTTCCCTAAATGGTTTAAAAAAGATGTTGTCCTGTGATAATTTTGCTTGTGTACATGCATTTTGAAAAATAAATAACTGCTTTAATTTAGTATTCCTCCATACTATCCTGTTAATCTCATTTACTATTCCTCCACAGTGTTGGCACTTGTAATTGTTCCAGTGATATCAGTTGCTGTGCGTAAATTTGGGCGTTTTCTTCGTGAGCTTTCACATCAGACACAAGCTGCGGCTGCTGTAGCTTCATCCATAGCTGAGGTTTGTATATCTGTTATTTTATTTGATGATGAGCATAGGAGAACTTTGGTGAAACCTTACTTTAATTACTGTAACGATTACAGAAAAAAGCAATCCAATACGCACGTTGAGTTTTCATTTCAACCATATGGTAGAATCCTTGATTTGTTGTATTTGGGCATTAACAATCATATCTTCTACCATCTAGGAATCTTTTGGTGCCATTCGCACAGTAAGAGCCTTTGCTCAAGAGCCTCATGAGATTTCACGATATGGCGGAAAAGTAAACGAGACACTGAAGCTTGGTCTCAAGCAAGCTGTGAGTACTGTAATGTTAATGTAAGAAAAATGGCACCATTTTGCATAATGACCTGACTGCATTTTTTGTAGAAAGTTGTTGGACTATTTTCTGGAGGGCTTAATGCTGCATCAACCCTGTCGGTTGTTGTTGTAGTTATTTATGGAGCTAACTTAACCATCAATGGTTACATGACAACTGGTTCTCTTACGTCATTCATCTTATACAGCCTTACAGGTAAGATTCAGCATTATCACTTTTGTTTTTACCGAACCCAGTATTCTACAGATACCACAACTGGAAATCTACAAGTCAGTTATAACAATCATGTTTATAAGGGGCACTTCTGTTTTAATTGTCATGGTTATGTGTATGCTGACTTTTCTGAACAATTCATCCCTCTCTTGAGTATGCAGTTGGCTCGTCAGTCTCTGCCTTGTCAGGACTATACACAACTGTAATGAAAGCATCAGGGGCAAGCCGTAGAGTTTTTCAACTACTTGATCGTGTTTCCTCAATGACAAACACTGGGGATAAATGTCCAAAAATGTGAGTTTCATTGTCTATCAGCTTTCTTGATTGATTATACCTGTGCATTATGCAATACACATTTTCTTTCATTTTACTGTGAATTTCATAGTGTATTAGCTTTTTTGGTTGATTTGCATGTTCTCCCATTTCAGCGAAAATGAGGGGGAAGTTGAGCTGGACGATGTCTGGTTTGCATATCCTTCTCGTCCTTCTCATATGATTCTTAAGGTAAATGTTTTCAGATTGCATTTCTGTGCAACCTACATGATAAATTTAAATTTGGCGTACTCTAGCATGGTGTTGTCTTTTCCTCCTTGTTTATGTGCAGTGTACACGCAAAGAGAAAGTTAGGTGTAACTTGCATGCTTATCTTTTGTGCTCTTATGAATTTGCACTGCGTTCGGGATAACTTGGCTCACTTTCTGAAACTTGGATACTTAGTGGTTTGTTTTACTGTTAGAAACGGAAGAATATGCTGATACAGTAACCTACATGATCTTAGTGATTTTTTTGTACTGTTAGAAACGGAAGAATATGCTGATACAGTAACCTACATGATGGCAACACGTTGCCAGCATTACTCCCAATGGTGGATTAGTCAATTATTCTTGTAGTTCCATTGTGTATAAGAAAAGTGAGCATACTTTGACTTGGCATATATAGGAGTTTTCTCTAAATTATATATGAGTGTTATGATTATTTTAGTGATAAAGTAGTTACGATGTGTTGCAAACTGTAAAATATGACTACTTTTAATAGGAAGAGAGGTAAAAAATCAGTTACAAGCTTTCTTGAGGGCATAGAGTACAATTTCAACTAGCATGCGTGATGCATTAAGTTTATATTTTGTGTCATCAATATTTCAGGGAATCACATTGAAGCTAGCACCAGGTTCAAAGGTTGCACTTGTTGGGCCGAGTGGTGGTGGAAAAGTAAGCCTAGTTTTGTCGTATGCTATAATTAGTTCACATGCTTGGTGTTACACTATGAAATTGTTTCTCACTTGTGACTCTCAATCATAACCTTCGGGTTTTTACACGCTCCTGCAGACTACAATAGCAAATTTGATTGAAAGGTTTTATGACCCTCTAAAGGGAAGGATCTTGCTAAATGGAGTGCCTTTGGTAGAAATTTCACATCAGTATCTCCACCAAAAGGTATGGTGTCCAACTGTTTTTGTCCGTAACAGGATTGATATGATGCTGTGGAAATTAGGACATTATCTAAGCTATGCTGCTTATTTAAGGTTCCAAGTCCTAGTAGCCGGTGCCATCACCGGACATTGTCCTGATTCCTGAATTGGTTGATATTAGTCCGATTCTGTAAACTGTGCCAGTTAGCAGGTTCACCAATAGTCTAGTCACTAGAGTCATGTAATTCAGAACCTTTTGGGGACAAAAAAATAGTATGAAGTATGAACCAAAAAGTTCCAGCATCCCAGAAATACTCTGCTTACATCAGTAATGGACATTAAATTATGCTAGTTGGTAATTTCAGTATTTTGGTAGTGTCTGGTGAGTGTCACTGGCCATTCAAGACTCAACTTGTGAACCCCTGAGATTACTTATGCATCTGACAAGCACAACTAGGAGCGCATGATTGACATGGTTCATGGCTATACTTGTATATTTGGCTTCAATTTTTTTAAATGTTTATTTTCTCAACCAAATGATTTCAGGTAAGCATAGTTAGCCAGGAGCCTACACTCTTTAACTGCTCCATTGAAGAGAATATTGCATATGGATTGGAGGGCAAAGCTAGCTCTGCTGACGTTGAAAATGCAGCCGTAAGTATCTGAATTTAGGAACACTAAGCGTACCTCTAGATTGCAGGATCTGACTAACTTCTCGATGCAGAAAATGGCAAACGCGCATGACTTCATATGCAGTTTCCCAGACCAATACAAGACTGTCGTGGGAGAGCGAGGCATCAGGTTATCTGGCGGGCAGAAGCAGAGGGTCGCCATTGCAAGAGCTTTGCTTATGAACCCACGAGTGCTTCTCTTAGATGAAGCTACCAGCGCTCTGGACGCCGAAAGCGAGTACCTTGTTCAGGTACCGCAACCACTCGACTGCTACCAACATCTGTACTGCCCCGAAGGGAAACAAACAATTCTCTTGCTGCAATAAAATTTATGTTATCTATATGCCACAGGATGCAATGGACTCGTTGATGAAAGGGAGGACCGTTCTTGTGATAGCTCATCGGCTCTCCACCGTGAAGAGCGCCGACACGGTTGCCGTCATCTCCGAGGGCCAGATTGTGGAGAGAGGCACACACGACGAACTCCTCGAGCGCGACGGCATCTACACGGCCCTGGTGAAGAGGCAGCTGCAGTTGCCCAAGTTTGAAGGGACCGCCAACGGGACAGCAGAAATAGAACCCAGCAGTAATGGCCAATAGTGTTGCCTTGCTTGATGATATCTCTCCTCTTCGGTTAGGCAGACACCACGTGGACGCCCATTCTGATGGACGTATTCCACTCTCGATAACGCCAACACGCTGGAATGTCACACGCTGTAGCTCTCCTACACCTTGTCTCACATGTGCGGCTGTATGTGAGTGCACTGTAAAAGGATATACTCCCGAAATTGTCATCGATTATTTCTGTAAGATACAGTTAAGAAAAATTGCAGCGCCAAAACTACGGTGATATGTATTTTCAGTAGACCTGGGGTCCCAAAATCGAAATGACCATCCAAGGGGAAAATCCCAGCAAAAATTGTTGAAAAATACTCTTTTAGTTCATCACTCAAAGAATCATAAAATTATTAAGAGCATCTCCCCCCCCCCTCCTTTTATCGCCGGCGCCGAAAAATCGGCCCAATCGCGTCTCTAGGAGTTCATTTTTCGCCGGTTAGGGCTGAATTTAGCGCCGGCGGACCGAGGTTGAATCCGGCGTGCTGGAGGGCGCCGGCGAAACGGTTTTGGCGCCCTCTAGAAGCCCATTTTTCGCCGGTTAGGGCCGAATTTAGCGCCGGCGGACTCAGGTCGAACCCGGCGTGCTGGGGGCGTCGGGGGAAACAGTTTTTGCGCGAAAGCCAAGCGGGCCCGCCGACTCAGCGACCGGGCGTGCTCGTCGTCCTCACCGCCTCGGTTTCCCGCAGTGAATCATGCCAAGGCTGCCGCGCCGGTCAGCCTTCCATTAATGCCTCACGGGCGGTGCAGTGAAGGCACGGCGACGCGCGTCTCGCCTGCTCCCGCCACGCGTACGCACGCATGCCGCCCGCTCGCCGCCTCCCGCCGCTATAAAAGCCAGCCCCTCCTTCGCCAGTGAGCGCACACCCTCCATGGCCACAGAACTGTAACACCCTCGATGCGGCTATATCTCCCACGTGTTGAAGCACGACTTAGAGGCATAACCGCATTGAAAGCAATGTCGCAAGTGAGGTAATCTTCACACAACTCATGTAATACATAAGGGAAAAAGATAAATAGTTGGCTTACAATCGCCACTTCACACAATACATGAATAAAGCATTACATCATCCAGGTACAATCAAGGTCCGATTACGGAACCAAAATAAAAAAAGAATCCCAAAAGCGACAAGGTCCCTGATCGACCCCAACTGGGCTCCACTACTGATCAACTAGAACGAAACAACACAAAGGGCAAGATCTTCATCGAGCTCCTCCTTGAGCTTGGTTGCGTCATCTGCACGGTTCAACGGCACCTGCAAGCTGGTTTTGAAGTAACTGTGAGCCACGGTGACTCAGCAATCTCGCACCCTCGCGATCAAGACTATTTAAGCTTATGGGTAAGGTAAAGGTATGAGGTGGAGCTGCAGCAAGCGGCTAGCATATATGGTGGCTAACATACGCAAATGAGAGCGAGAAGAGAAGGCAAAGCACGGTCGAGAAACTATGATCAAGAAGTGATCCTAGAACAACCTACGTCAAACATAACTCCAACACCGTGTTCACTTCCCGGACTCCGCCGAGAAGAGACCATCACGGTTACACATGCGGTTGATGCATTTTAATTAAGGTCAACTTCAGGTTTTCCACAACCGGACGTTAACAAATTCCCATCTGCCCATAACCGTGGGCACGCCTTTCGAAAGTTCAAATCCCTGCAGGGGTGTCCCAACTTAGCCCATCACAAGCTCTCACGGTCAACGAAGGATATTCCTTATAGCGGGAAGACCCGACCAGACTCGAAATCCCGGTTACAAGACATCCTCGACAATGGTAAAACAAGTCCAGTAACACCGCCCGAATGTGTCGACAAATGCCGATAGGAGCTACACATATCTCGTTCTCAGGGCACACTCAGATTGTCTAAACTTTCGGTAGGCCAGCCCAAAGTTGCCCCTGGTGGCCACCGACGG